AATTTTAATTTAATTTTTAATTTTTTCATAATATTATTTTAAGTATATGTGCTATGACTGTAAACTAGTTTGAATTAATAAATTAGTATACGAATTGCATAATTCCATGCATATCTAACTTGTAGAAAACCACTAATAATCGTTTTAAAAAAATTTCCAGAAATCGTTAGCGATTTAATCTTTGATATTCATGGCTTTAGCAATCTTATTTAAGTAAAAAAATAGTGAATTCTTATTCAAGAAAAAAATAAATCAAAAATATGAAAAATATACGATAAAATAAATTAAATTATATTAGGTGTTAAATATTTTATAATTCGTTTTTCTTTTAATAATAGATCGCGCCGTTTGGCTGATTTCACTAGTGGATGTGACAAGTCAAATCCGTTTTTCAGATCTCACAATCTGATATTTCACTTGAGGATAACTGCGGCAACTCTTTTTTCTATCACCCAAGCATGTAGTTGGTCTGGTTGTACCAGCACAAGTCTTGCTAAAGTAGGACGCGGAGTCGCATTTAGGATATCCGATACAATCATATGTGCATTTTTTATAAGTAAATTTTTCTTTCTGCTCATCATTTCTTTCCCATAGGCTTAGTTTGTTTCTATTGGGTTTTTAATTTCGCCAAATAAGTTATTGAATAAATTATTTTCTCGACCTTCTTTTAATTATTATTTTTATAATCTTTTATTTTTTCAAATAAATGGTTAAAAACCACATCCAAAAATTTTAATTATTCCATTTTTGGGTATTTCATTATAAGTATTTAAGAAAAATAAATTTATGTTTGCCATAACCATTGACTATTAACTTTCATTTCAATCTTTGCAATCTTTTTTCATTTGAATCAATTTTTTTATTTTTTTCATTGCGCAAAATTGATTGAAATAAAAAAAAGATTTTAAAGATTGAAATAAAATGTTAATGGCATGAAATTATAAAAAATTTATTTATTTATTTTTTGTAATTTTACGAATATTTTGAATGAAGAAGTGGTAAGCGGTAACAGTATAGATGATTCAATTTTTTGAACTAAGGTGGGGGGAGGGGAGGGAGGAAAATTCCAAATTCGAATAGCTTAAATTTTTGGATACGATTTTTAACCATTTATTTAAAAAAAAATAATATTAAATTAAGAAAGGCAAAAAGATAATTCATCCGATAACATATTTGGCGAAATTAAAAACCCAGTAGATATAAACTAACCTATGGGAAAGAAATGGCGAGCAGAAGGAAAAATTTACTGATAAAAAAAGCACGTATAATTATATCGGATATCCTAAATGCGACTCCACCCTACTTTATAAAGTCTTGTGCTGGCACAACCAGAGCGACTATGTATATATCTATATATATATGTTTTAAAGGTAAAAAGAAAAAGTGGCTACAGTCGCCCTCAAGTGAAGCATCAGATTGCGAGACTTGAAAATGACTTACCACAGTCACCAGTATATTCATATTTTATGCTTAAAATATTTTATCTTATATATCATATTTTAGTAATTAGAATAGTTCTTAGTATTTTTAGTATTTTCATTTCGCTTTTCAGTGGACATCAGCCAGCAATAGTGTGATTTGTTTGAAATAAAAAGAAAATAAGGCTCAATATAACAATTTATACTAATATATTTTTATTTTTTATTATTTATTTTTTGATTACTTTTTATTTAACTATCATTGACGAAAATCGGAAATAAATACCGCATCTAAGAATCTTGAAAATCTTTCATATTTATTAATTTAATAATAGTAAATTAATATTATAATATAATAATATAATATTATATAATAATAATATTAATAATAGTAAATAGTAAAGAATAAAACATTAAACATTATATTATAAAACAAATTAAAATAATAAGTTTAAATTTATTTCATACGAAATATAAACCATTCCATTCAAATCCATTTCAAATTAATTTCACTGGTAAAATTTGGCCTAAATTTTGCTTAAATTTAACGATGTGTTTGGATATTCGAACATTTTGCTTTATGTTTCATATACTCTATTATATTTTAATTATTTTAATTATTCATAGTTAAAATAAACGATATCAATCGAATTTTATGATGATTTTTCATGAAGAATTTGAAACAATTTGAAAATTATTTTATTTAATTTTAAAATTTGAATTTTAATTTTAAATCTGATAACTTTCTTATATTTTATATTAAATTTTCCTTAAATTCAATGAAGCAAATTATTTTGTGGGTGCATGCGGGCGTTTTATTTTATGCCTGAATTTTTCGAAAACTTAAAGTTAAAATTTAAAAAATTTTGCGTGATTAAGCACCGATTATTTTAGAAAATTGAATTTTAGATATTTTAGATAATTTTAGATATAATATTTTTTGGAATATTTTATTTTTTATATTTTATATTTTATATATATTTAATAATTTTGATAATTTTTCTTATTTTCATTTTTTATCATTTTATATTGTGAAATAAACGGTAATCGAATTTTATAATGAATTTTATGATTTATTAATTTAAAATAATTTGAAAACTATTCTATTTAAATTTTATATCTGAAAACTTTCGTATATTTAATTGTAACTATAATTGTAATTGTAACTTTCGTATATTTAATATTTAAATTCATTTTACTTTCTATCTAATGATCAAATAATCATAGTGAAATTTTTTTTTTTATAGTATTAATTATCCGTAAATAATTCAAAAACAATAATTAATTATTGTTTAATGAAAATTATTTTTCTATTCCCTATAATTAATCTTTAATTCTCTGAAAATTTGCGTGGCGATATTTTTTTATTTAAACATCGTTAAAATTTCCAACCGTATTAAAAAAGAAAAGCATTAGATGCCTGTTTTGAAGTATTTCTATCTCGAAGTAATGTTCTGTGCTGTATTTTTAACCGAATTAAATTAAAAATAAATTAAAAATTATAAGCAACAGAAAAAAAAAGTTATATTTTTATATTTAAAAGTTATATTTTTCGTTGCGAATTTCGGTTTAAGAATTTCAAGAAAATCAGTCCAGTTGATTGCATTTTTTTTTCCATAGGCCAATTTTCAATTTTTTATTCTAATTTTTATTCAATCCAGTTGATTGCATTTTTTTTTCATAGACCAATTTTTTATTTTAATTTTTATTCAATCCAGTTGGTTGCATTTTTTTAACTGATTTTTATGATTTTATGATTCATAATTAATTTAATTTTATAATTTCGATAATTTTTTTCTCAATTATTGAAAAGATTATTCTTATTCTTTTTTTTTTACGATTTCATTCTGATAATTTTTTAACTTAGTCTGATGATAATCTATTAATCTAATTATGTTTTCTACTCTTTAACTTGCAAGTTTTGCAACCTTTCCTCATTGAATATTTTATCACTTTGATAAAATTATGGAAAAAACTGAACCCGATTAATGTATCTTTATATGCTCCACATTTTATGCATTCTACTTATATGCTTTAGTTAAATGTGGCGTTTCAACTTTGTTTAGCTGATAAAGAGATAAGTAGACAAAGGGGAAAGGTGCTAAAGGTGGCAATTGTCATTGGTTTTTTCAGTAAGTTAAGAAGTAAATTCTTGCCAAGTTGTGATGAATGAAATGATAGATAGCAATAACTTTCGAGGCTTATTGGAAAGATAAATGCCAATGCCGAATTTGAGTACAGCAAGTGTATCAGGCAACATCATAAGGTAGTGTCGTTGAATGGCGAAGATAAAACTGCATAAAAAGGTTCAGTTGGTTATTTCTCAGTTCAGAGTTGCGATGGAAAGATTCTACACAGCCAATCTTCAAAAATCCGGATTATACTAGCGATTCACCTGTTTTTCTACTTTCTCTCTGGCAATGTTTTCTGATAAGACAGACAGATAGCCTATCAATAGTAGGCTAACTTAGAGCAACATCGAACACCAGCAATGTTTTGTAAAAATTTCGAAATTTCTAGCGTTTTTTTGTAATTTTTTCCAACAGATTGAAATAATTTCTTAAAATTATTGAAAATATTTTAATTATACTAATTGAATTGATTCAATTTTCAGAATATTCATTACATTCATTATTATTTTAATCTCATTATTATTATTATCAACGAAGTTGAGAAAAAAATAAAATCTGATTTGTTTAAAAAAAAATGATGGAAAAAGTAGTAAATGATGATTTTATCATATGTGGAATAATTGTGCTGGTAAGATTTGCCCATATTTTCGAGAGTTTTTTATTTAAATTTTTTTATTTTCAAATTAGTTTTCTCAATTTTTCACCAATTTGCGCTCCTCTAAAACTATAAATCTCCAAAAAAATCTTTCTAATTTTATTACTTTGATTTAATTAAAATAATAGTTTTTTGGATAAAATTATATTTTTTAATATTTAATATTAATTATATATTATTTAATATTAATTATATTTTATAAACGACAGATTTCACTAAAAGTGCAGTTTCTTCAATATGGTAGCAAATTTCATCGTGAGTACATAAATGTCTTCGATATTCAATTCTCCGAGAAAAATTCTCGTCATTCTTGAAAAGTTTGCTAGTCGCTTAATTTCAGAGCAGCTTTTGTGGGATCGTAATAAATGTCGGCTTAATAATTATTATACGGAAAACCGGTTTTATACAAAAGCCATTCGGAATACTTTGTATCAGTATTGGATGCTTAAATTGTTGCATTCTCCTAATTATGTGCATCTACGATATTCTAGCGATTGCACTGTAATAATTTCAGTTTTTTAATTGATGTTGCAATTTTCATATTATCACTTTCTTCAAACATTTATATTAACCAGGTTGAACTTGGAAATTTGCAGAAATACTTCCTTGCCAAACTTGGTTTCGCATTCAAAATGAGTCTAACCTGAAATTAAACCTGAAATGAGTTTAATCGAAATATATTAACACAATTTTCACAATTTTATAAGCACTTTTGAAATGTCTTGCTAGTGTTTTCATAGAATATTATTTTCTCCAAGGCAATCATCCTAACAGAATAATCCAGAAATTCAACTGAGTCACAGGCTGATTACCAAAGAAAAAAGCGCGAATGGAATTGGCCAACTGATTAACGGCATTTATTATTCAAATTTGTTGTTGCATCTTCTTATAAGTGTTAATAGATTTTATTCTGTTGCACTTCCACTAAAATATGGAACCATTTTTGATCGAAAAAAAACGAAAATTATGGTGTTCTTTATCATAACAACTGCAGTCGGTTTTTTTATGGGCTCTCAATTTTGTAAGTTATTTTTTTTCGTAAATTGCTCAAAAAATTGATTGCATTTTTCAGAAGTGTTCACTTCTCTCTCAGTAGGTTTTTCTCGACTTATATCAATTTATTATATACTATTGTTTACTCAGAACTTCTTTCAGATCCAGGATGTTCATATGTCTTTGATATAACTTTTTATACGTGGAGCTATGGCGAGTCGGAATGTGGGCAATTTTTCGCTGGTTTTGAATTCTATTTCCATATCACTCTATTAATTATTGTTGTCGCTATCGATATTATTACATTTCGTAAGTTGTTAGCCAAAAAGGTTCGATTTTTTTTTACAATTTTTAATTTTCAAGAAAGTTTTGCATAAGTTGAAATAAGCTTCTTATTAAATTTTCATTAGTTAAGCATGAAAATAACATGGCTAATTTTTTTTTTATAATTATTTTAATAGATTATTTTTTTTTCTTATTGCACACAATCTTCTATAAGCTTTCTCTTGGTTTTTTTTTTTTGACTTTAGCCATGTAATAAATAATTATTCTTTATAAATCCATGCAAATGCTAAAAATAACAACTAATATTATTATTGCTATATTAAATGATAATAATATACTGAAAAAATCGACGAAAATATTTCAAAATTTTAGAGACGTTTATTAAAAAGAAATAATTATTTTGGCACAAAATTACGAACAGAAATATGGTTTTTTTCACAGGTAGAAAAATTTTTAAATATGATTATTGGCCTAAAATCATTTGAAAATTTTTTCTAGACAACATTTGTCAAGGATGTTGGAAAAATTCATCATTTTCACTGGATAGTTTTATTAGATTTGTTACAAAAAATATGCATTCACGCATTCTTTTATAAAAAATACGATAAGTTGAACTATTTTTAATATAACTTTTTCCAAAAAAATTTAGAAAATATAATTCCAGACATGCCTTAGCTCATTGGTATATTTAGTTGATTTTCTGGGCGCTACTCTAATAGCACCGTTGTGCACAACAATATGGGGAACTTTCTTATTATTCACATTCACATGGATGCTTTGCCATTTTTTTGACGGGTAAAATTTGTTCATTTTTTTTCTCTTTTTATTTTTTTTAACAGTCCTATCATTCTCAAATAAAAACAGACTATAACAATTATCAGTTATAAAAAAACCTGTTATCAAAGTCCAATTTTATTATTTTGCACTATTTATCACTATTTATTGCTTTTTTGAGAATTTCATGTATATGTTTTCACTCGAAAAAGAAAAAACGAATTACATAATTAGCTATCTGATAATCTAATAGTTTCAGATTGATCATTTTGTCCATTCATTATAAAATAATAGTAAAAAGAAAAGTAATGGCAGTGACCGCACTTCTCAATACAGTAAAAATCAGTTAAAAATGCGTTTTCGATGTTGTAAAATTGTTTCAAAATTGCTTCTTCTTATTTTTCTTTCATATTTTCAAATTATTGTTTTTTGTTACTTACTTTAATTTACAATTTATTCGCTAAATCCGCTGAAAACAATCAGATGACGGCAAAAATTCTTCTAATAAGTTTCCTAAAATTCACCCTTTGATAATTAATGCTATTTATTTTTACAAAATTTTAATTTTTTTTTAATTTTTTAATTTTTAAAAATTTTAAAAAATTATATTTTTTTTTCTTTCTTTTATTTCATAAAATATGAAATATGCTGGAAAAAAATTCTCATTCAAAGAAAGCGTCGAGGAATTATCGTGAATTAAAAACGGTTTAATTAAAAAAAAAATTATCAATTATCAAAAAACTTCAAAACTTTAAACTCCATTTTCAATGAAGCAACTATTCTCAACGAAATTATTTACTCTTAGCTTTAATATTTACTTTATCAGAGGTTGTTCGCTAATTTATATGAAATAAAAAACCGATAAATTAGAAAGAAAAAGGAAAGTTGTTGGAGCAATTTTTTAAAACAACTGAAACAGCTAAAATCGACTCAAATTCACACCGTTATAAAAATCGGTGACACTTTTAATTATTTGATAAATGGCGAAACTTTTAACAATATTTATGCGATGAAATTGGCTAATAATATGATCATTAGCTAAACTTTTCAAAGATCTTAGAGATTTTGTTGATTCTCGAAAAAAAACACTATCTATATTATATATTCCTACAAAGTGATAAGTGATCGCAATTAAATTTATCAGTTTTCTTCATAAAGGCATTATACGCATTCTTTGTGAAGGTCGCCTTTTTTTATTGAATTTTCAATCATTAATTAATTATCATTCGTTAATCATTAATTTTGCATTTGCTCATAAATAAAAGAGAAAATTATACAAAAATTTACAAATTAAATCAAAAAATAAAAATGCATTCAAAAACGTATTTAAAAAACTCACAAAAATTATAATAAAATTATCATATTTGCTAATTGCAATAAAAAATTTCTCTTTTAGAATAATGTAAAATTTGGAAATATGAAATGAAAAAAAGATAGAATTTATGATTTAACTTCATTTTTAACTTGCAATATAATTTAATTTTTTGTGTTAAAATCAGATTTTTATTTGAAATTGCTTCAATTGTAATTAAAAAATTATTTCTCTATTTCAAATCAAATTAAATCAAATTTAATGTATTAAATCAAATTTAACATAATAAAATATAAAGATATAGTATTTAATATAATATAATATTGTAAATATTGTGATATTAACTTTTCATTTTTTATTTTACTATATATATATATATATATATATATCCATATTCCCTCAAATACCAACTGAATTAATTGTGTTATCGTCACCTTTGGTGTTTAGGGTAGTTTCCTCGCTCACCCACAAGGGTTTTTTCGCTACTTGTTAAACCCTGTGATAGGTGGCGCCAGAAGGAAAGATAAGGCAATCAAAACATGGATTAATACAGCCACGGAGAACTTCAAACGCATAGGTGTACCAGCAATATATATCAACTTAGAATTGAAAAGGAATGGTTTCGATTGCTATCAGCGATGGCACCAGATCATACAGATTGAAAACATCCCACCAGCCTTTAATCAGCTGAACCAGCCTAATACGTAATGGTGAAAAGCTATTAGAAAAAAGATTATTTAAGAAAAAATTGATGAAATGGCAAATAAGCAAAATCTATGAAATAACTTCATTTTTAATTTGCAATATAATTTAATTTTTTGTATTAAATTTTGTATAAAATCAGAATTTTTTTTGTCCGTTTTTTGATTGCTCGACGTTCACAATTTTGCCTTTTATTGTAATCTCTAACGAATTAATTAATTATGTGAAGTGAAAATATGCAATAGTTGAGCTAATATGAGCGATATATATACATTTATCGCGAAATAAAAAATAAATTCCTTTTTAATTTTTATAAACGAAAACCTTATTTTGAACTAAGGGATGCAGAATTTTTAACCATTTCAATATCGAAAATTAATAGATTTTTTGGGCATTTTTAATGAAATATGGCAGCAGACTTTTAGAAAAAATGGAATACATCTGAAAATCCGCCGTTTTGACGACTAATGCAATAACACAACATATGAGATTCTCCGAAATAAAATCGAATGACTATGACTAATTTTTCTGGTTGATTTCTTTAATGCGCCAACTAATTTGTAATTTATTATTTTATCCAATTAATTTTTAATATTAAAGAAAAAAGCAAATTAAAAATTGACAGACAACTTTTAATTTAGTTTCATATAAATTTCAAAAAAAAAGAATTTATGGACTTAAAAATGGAAAAAATAGGGCTTTATAGATTAAGAACTTTTCAAGTGCATAAGAAATGCATAAATGATAAAGGCATTTTTATCATTGCTACCATTGCTGATAAGCATATGGCTAGAAGTCATCAAATGGCAAATCTCTAATTTAGATTTTCATTTTTTTGCGATGTTCTATGTAAAAATTAATAATAGCTATTATATAATAATACAAATTGGGGTGAACAATTTTCAAATGGCAATAATTAGGCCCAAAAAAAAATTTAAAAATTGCAAATGGCAAATGCTCTTAGATATCCTTTAGAATATTTTATGAACTATCAGTTTCCAATTTCGAGAAATCAATTTTTCTTTAAAAGTACCTATCTTTTTAGAGAGCCCAAAAAGCGGTTAATGGATCTGATATTACCGCTGCCATTTTCGATTCACTTCACGACAAATTACAACGAGGAAGCTGTTATTCATTGAGCCACTCGATAATAGATGGGGGGATAGAATGGCTCAGTGAGTTTTGCTCAATTGAAAGCGCCGATGCTGAGGTTCGATTCCCTGCAGAAGTAAGCCTATACAAAAATCGGTGTGACAACTAACCTTCTTTTCTATCGCCAAGGAACTCCTTAGCACATTGCCCAATTGTGACAAGCCAGTGGAGCGGGTTTAACCAGCAATGGTGAGGATTCTTTGAAAAAAAAATATTCGATGATAGATATACGATTGCGACAGCACTTCTAACAGTTCGCATCACTGCTGGCATGCTTTACACCACCCTCGACTAGGATAAACAATTATAAAGCCGCACGATCCGAATACAATAACTGAAAGCATACAACTGAAACCATTTTTTTTTAAATAATCCGTATATCATTGGGTTCGACCATTTATTCGGTTCTTTTTGTCGGTCTATTAATCTTACCTGGTACCAATAGATTTTCTTATTTTCTATTACATGGTAAGAAATTTTTATAAAAAATTTTATAATTTTTAATTTTAATAATTTTATAATTTTCTTATAATTTAATTTCGTTATTGAATTTATTCATAACGATATTCTCTGATTGTCTATGTAAAATGTCTCATTGAATTATATTATTGCTTATATTATTATTGCCACTGATGCTGGAATTTTATTCCAGTTAGATTCTTTTGTTTATAGCTAATAGCTACTTATAATTTAATAAATAGTTTTATAAGTTATAAATTTGTAAATTTGCCAAAAATGTTTGATTTTCACAGTTTCTATATTAAATTATGAAAAATGTATTGTCTGAATATATGGCGTAGTTTCTTGGAAAGTTCCATGTTCTACCAAGAAACAGAAAGAAAATGTGCCATTTTATGCCATTTATAACTTAAATTATTATTTCATTTGATCGATCAGCTGGTTTTCTCATCGTATTTCTGAAATAAATACTTTAAAAATGCTTTTTTAAAATGATTTTAAACTGAATTGTGAGTTGTGAATTATAAGGAAAATCAATTTAATTTGATAATATTTCCTTAATAACTTGAAAAGTATTTTCGTATAAATTTATCAACTTTCTTTTACAAATGGGAAATACTTTTTTCAAAATTTATTTCAAAAATTTCAAATATTTCAATAATTAAAACGATATAAAAAAAATTTCTGAAAGTTAAATTATAAAATTATGCAAAAATTACAAAAATTACAAAAATAATTAAACTGAATCATTGAATTCTCTTAATCTCTTCTTTAAAAAAATAAAAAAATAACTTCTTTTCACAAATTAAGATAAACTAAAAATATCGGAAAAACCTTGAAGCTTCAATAAAAGAAATTGGAAAGGATGAAATTCCCTTAGGCCCTATCTATTCTTGAATTTCCCAAATTATCAAATATTTGTTCGCGGAATGTGTAAAAAGAATTTTTAGAAAGATTGACTTAATTGGTGTTATTTGTGATGCATGAAGCATTCTTAAGTCTAGAAAAAGCTTCCAGAAAAAAAGGAGAGATTTTGAATTTCGCATTGTAATATGCAATGCATCTAAATAATAGGGTTGTAATCACGAATAACTCATGAATGATCGAGATATTGGATAATCAGAAAGGATAGGAAATATGATGCAAATTGATGTTTGCTTTCTGCGTTGCTTCCAAGAGTAGTAAAAATGAAGAACGATCAAGTTGTCACGAAAAAATCCAGGTGAACTCAATGCATCTGCACTTCTAAAATCAAAGTGATCCTCTGGAAAAAAAACCTTAGTAACCAAGCAGTACCAAATCAAAAATAATCAATACAAAAATTTTTATTTAATCTTGAAAAAGATTCTATGAAAAAAAAAATTTAAATTAATTTTTATATTAAAATAATCTTATATTAATCGGGATTCGCTGCTTAACATAGGTTCGCTCCTGTGAAATGCAGGAATAGAATCGTTGAATCCAACTAAATCGCAAAAAAACCACGCATATAATGATTTTGATACAAACCTTTCATGCTTATTTACTAAATAATAATATTTTATTATTTAGGTTAATTTGAAATAATTTGAAAATAATTGTTTATTGTTATAATATTATAAATATTACATAAATATAAAAAAAATATAAATATTTTATTTAAACTTTAAATCTGAAAACTTTCTTAGATTTTATTCATTTCACTTTAATAATCTCAAATAACCTTGATGAAATTTTTTATTAATTAAGTTTTAATTACCCATAAATAATTCAGTAATAATAAATATTTTTCTATTCCTTATAATTAATCTTTAATTTCATAAAATATTCTCTATTTTTAAGTTTTCCAATAATCTTAAAAGATAGGCGCTAGATGCTTATATTGAAGCACTTCTATCTCCAAAGTTCTTTGTGATAATTAAAACTAAATAAATTAGAAATAATGAGCAGAGTTTGAAGTTCATTATGAATTTCGATTTAATCGCTTTAATAATGATCAGTTTATTTAATTGTAATTTTTTTACTAGCCCAAGAATAATAGAATGGTCCAGTGGATTGCTCAATTTGAAGTGCCGGTGCTGTGGTTCTTCTTCCAGTTGTCGTAGAATCCGAATTATGCTAGCGACTCATCTGTGCTTTCATCGTCAAGAAACACAATGCAGTATAATTGAAATACACTTCAAATTAATTTCAATGTCAAAGTTTGGCCTAAAATTTCCTAAAACTGACGGCATTTACTATATTTTCCATTGCTTTGCGGTATTTATTTTAGAATAGGACAATCAGGTTTTTTTTATTTTTAGATTTTGTATTTTAAAATATATTTTAAATATTAAATTATTTTAACATAGCTTCCAGTCCTATTTAAAAAATGCGGTTTCAAAGGTTTTTCTTCATTTGTTCTTATATCAAAGGTATTTTCTAATATCAGCTCGAACTAGAAATGATGAAGAACGTTAGAATGATTTAAGGCATATTAGTCTTTTTAATCGCTGATAAGCATTTTTTTCTATTCTATTTTTTTTCTTTTCTAATCTTTTTTCCAACGAAATCATATCTTTTTCTCATTGTGTTTCGCTAGGAATTTTCAAAATAAGTTACTTCTTTTTAGTGCTTGTTCTATTCTAACATATCGTTCATTTTTTCCACATAAATATAAGTTTTGAATATGAATATGCAGTTTCGAGTTCGATAAGCTGATAAAGATATGATAGCCGAAAAAGAAAGGTGATGCAACATCTCCTTCTCCAAACTTTTGTGCTATAAGTTCAGCCAAACAAATTCTTACAGTTCTCATTAATTTCTCCAGAAAGTCAAAAAATAAATTCTTGCTACCTTAATGCAGTAATAACAATTGAGCGCTAACTACTGTTCGTAATTTAGAAAAAATCAATTCTGCGGCATCTTCAGCCTTCTCATCGAAAAACTATTTAAAGGAAATATATTTCATAAAATATTCATTATTTTTTCAGTCATTGCTTGTCATGCAGTGATTGCTATTATCGCCATTGTTGAGTGATAGGCCTTTTAGATCTTTGAAATTTAAAAAATCTGGCATATCTGAGAAGGAATGGTGGAAAATAAAGATTTTGTCATATGTGGAATTATTACATTGGTAAGATTTGTTCGTAATTTTGACAATTTCTTAATTAAATTTTTTATTTTGAAATTAATTTTCTTCATTTTCCACCAATTTATAGTCGTCTAAAACTTAAAAAAATCTAAAAATTCTTCTATTCCTTTAAACGATAACTTTTAGAAAAATGTTTTGCAATACAAATTTTATAAACAACAAATTTCACTAAAAATACAAAGCACTCAATATTCAACGGGAAATTAATAAATCCTATTTTGAATTCTTCGAGAAGAATTCTCTTGGCAATTCTCTAAGTCGCTTAATTTCAGAATTGCTCCTGTGGGATCATTGTAAATCTCTGCCTAATAACTGTTATATGGAAAACTGGTCTTATAAAAAAGCCATTCGGAGTACTTTCTATAAGCATTGGCAGCTTAAATTGTTCTATTGTCCTTGTTACATGCATTTATGATATCGTTGCGATTACGCTGTAAGAGCATTAAACCGATTATTAACATTCTTATTTTTCTGACAATTAACGCCATTTTTAGCTAAATCGCTCCCTCACCGTGATGTGTTAAATATTAGTGGTACGTATAAAATAAGAATTGTTCAGTTGATCATGAATCGTCCAATTTATTTCCTAAATTAAGCAATGCGCCCATATTCTTCTTCTATTGTCAACACATGGCAGTCCTGGCTTTTGAGCAGTTCACTGGCTAAAAAGAAAGAAATGATACCCTCTCGCCAATGAATAACTCAGCGACAAAAGACGGGTAACTATAGCAGATTGCAAACTAGCGAAGCCTGGTTTATACCTACTGGCAAAAAAGCCCACCGTAGTTGACTTTGAAATAATTTATAGTAATTCGATATTAAATGGAATTTCGCAATTGCAATTAGTCCAATTAGATTTTGCTGACACATTTATTTGCCGTACTTTGTTTTAAAATGAATCTAAAATTTTTTGTCAAATTAAGCTTTTTACAATTTAATTACTTTTTCTTTCGAAATGTTAATAAATTCATTTCAACTGAATCGCAGACAAATTACCAAGGAGAAAAGCGCGAATGGAATTGGCCAACTGATTAACGGCATTTATTACTCAAATTTGCTGTTGCATCTTCTTATAAGTGTTAATAGATTTTATTCTGTTGCATTTCCTCTAAAATATGGAACCATTTTTGATCGAAAAAAGACGAAAATTATGGTGTTTTTAATTATAACAATCGCCATCGGTTTTTTTATGGGCTCTCAATTTTGTAAGTTTTTTATTTATTTTTATTAAATTTTTTTAAAATTCCTCAAAAAGTGGTCGCTTTCTTCATTTCTTTTATGTGTTTATATTGCCTTTTCTTGGTTCATAAATCTCAATTTGCCATATACAACTGCAGCATTTGCTTTGCTCAGAACTTCTTTCAGATCCAGGATGCTCATATGTCTTTGATTTAACTTTTTATACGTGGAGCTACGGCGAGTCGGAATGTGGGCAATTTTTCTCTGATTTCGAATTCTATTTCCATATCGCTCTATTCTTTATAATTGCTATTATCGATACGATAACATTTCGCAAATTGTTGGCCAGAAAAGTTCGTTATATTCCATTTATATTTTGGCAAATATGCTTCTTATTATTTTCTTCTGTATTAAATAACGAATAAATCGAATTCAAACACAAATAGATTGCTATTCATCATCCACAATCTTATAAATATTTTCCACTCATTTTTTTGGCTAAATATTGAATGCGATTAATTTCTTTGTGCATTAAAATATCATTAGCTTTAATTCAAATGAATTTCCCAAAAAATGGCGATTTTTCAAATTTTAGAGAAGTTTACTACAAGCGAGTAATTTTTTTCGCTCAAAAATACGAACAGATATATTGTTTTTTTCACAAGTAAGAATATTTATAAATTAAAATATTTGAAAATTAGAATATTTTATTTTATAAAAAAATATTTATTATTAGAAAATTGATCATTTACAATTTGGGCTTACTTTATATTTTTTAATTTTAATATTTTAATATATAATATACATATTCTTTTCGAAGGATGAGATGATTTGAACTATTTTATAAACTAAATATAAACTAAAACTGAATATAAACTAAAGCTAGTTTTTTCCTAAAATCTAAAAAGCGATTGCAGACATGTCTTAGCTCATTGGTATATTTAGTCGATTTCCTGGATGCTACTCTGATAGCGCCATTTTGCACAACAGCGTGGGGAACATTCATATTGTTCACATTCACATGGATGCTTTGTCATTTTCTTGATGGGTAAAATTTGTTTTTTATTTCAGCTGCATTATTAATTGTCAATTAAAGATAATCTACAACTAAATTCTAAATATCTCTTTAAAAAAATAATAAGTAGCGCAATCAGATCAGCAAGTGATCATTTGATAACCTAGAAGTTTCAGGCTTATCATTTTGATCATTCAATGCAAAGTAATAGAGAGGCAAAGGAAAATAATGCCCATGAATGCATTTCTGAATATGGTGAAAATCGGTTAGATATGTTGCAATGTTTTGAAATTGTATTAACCAATTTTCGTACTAGCAAACTCACCATTTTTGTTATTTTACAATTCAGTGCTATTAAATCAGAACGGTGATAAAAAATGGCAAAAGTTTTCAATAAGTTTCCAAAAAATAAAACCTCCGTTAATTGTCGCTGAAATTTGTTTCGCAAAATTGCAGCTTTTTTTCAATACGAAACATCTTTCTTCGCCTTTCTCGCATGGTGAATTCGATGAATGGTCTAATCTAATAATTAATTATGGCAATTCATATAAAGTAAAACATGCGAAAATTTCGGTTTTTCTTCATATACAGAATAATATATATTCCGATAATTAGGAATTATTCTTTCTTTTAAATTCTTATTTTTTTTCAAAAATCTAAAAAATAATTTAATTATTAGAATATTTGCATATATTATGGCATCGTTTCACTTAAAAAATAAAAATAAAAAATAAAAAAAATATTTCAATCATTTTTGCTTTATCAATTTATAAAGAAAGTTAAGAATGATGGAAAAAATGCTGGAAAAAACATCATTGATGTGATTTANNNTTAATTGTCGCTGAAATTTGTTTCGCAAAATTGCAGCTTTTTTTCAATACTAAACATCTTTCTTCGCCTTTCTCGCATGGTGAATTCGATGAATGGTCTAATTTAATAATTAATTATGGCAATTCATATAATTATGGCAATTCATACTTTATATTCATATAAAGTAAAACATGCGAAAATTTCGGTTTTTCTTCATATACAGAATAATATATATTCCGATAATTAGGAATTATTCTTTCTTTTAAATTCTTATTTTTTTTCAAAAATCTAAATAATAATTTAATTATTAGAATATTTGCATATATTATGGCACCGTTTCACTTAAAAAATAAAAATAAAAAATAAAAAAAAATATTTCAATCATTTTTGCTTTATCAATTTATAAAGAAAGTTAAGAATGATGGAAAAAATGCTGGAAAAAACATCATTGATGTGATTTAATAAATTTATTGAGCAATAAGATTGAACAAAGATTTCAAAAAATTATTAGCACACTTCGAATTAATATAGTTGAGAAACTGAGAAATATTAGTTCTCAATATTTCACGTTCGCTTCGCAGCATTTGTCGGCGTTACGTGACTTTTTACGTATAACTTAATAATGAAAAAAAATGAATATTAAAAATTTGGACAAAAATCTCATATTTTGCCATCTTCATGCATTATTAATGCATCTGTTAATGCCCATGCAATATCCCTTGAAAACTCTCGAACTCCTTCATATCCAACCAAATAGTAAATATTTTTCCGTTTTGATAAACCAAAAAATGATAAACCAAAATGATAAGGGAGATATGATAATAAGAAAATCCTAATTCTCACGCATGCAACTTTTTTTTGAACTTCTTGAAATTTCATTTACTATTCGAAATCTTTGTTTGGATCTGCGCTTAAAGAAAGTCGCAATATTATAGTAAAATAATGGGACTTTTTATTATTTCATGCTAAATTTTAGGCACTATACAGGAAAATGGGCTTTCCAAGCAAACGGAGGAGAAATATTGTCATTCTTTCAATATGTGATATTATGTGATAATATGTGATATTAACACTTGCTTTTCGAGGTCTCCAGGATGCTTACGCAAAATTGAACTCAAATTAAGATGTGTACGGAAATATGGAAAAAAAACAAGAAAATATAAGAATTATTAATTGTTACTATAGGAATAAAAAAAGTTAAAAAAGATATTTACATTTACAATAATTGAGAAGAAAAGATTTTTCATTTTTTTCATTAAAATTTTTTTTCAGAAAAATAATTTAAAAAATTATAATTTATTTAGGTCAATTATTTGTGGTCTATTTGTAGCTTTCATTTTAGAAGCCAATTTTATTTCTTAATTCGGCGAATTTTTTTCTAAAAACCTTGCCTCTAATTTAATCCAAAAATTAAGTCTTGTGCTAATAAAAGAATGGTAGACATCACCATGCGCAACGAATAAAACTAGCGCGATCACGGTGCGTGCTTCCAACTTTTAATGGAGAACAGGAATATTTCGGACCAGCGGTTTCGAAACAATTGCCTAACCAAGTGTAGAACGAGCGCCATAATATTGATAATCAGTTAGAGAAAGAAAACAAATCGTTTGATAGTTGAAAAGCAAAGCACCATAAAATTCTTCGCGTTATTCGTGGTGTCTTATTTCAGATTTTTATTAGATTTATTAGATTTAGATTTATCGCATATTTATTAGTTGAATAGTTTATTTTTTTGTTTTTAATTAATTATATATTTAATTAATTAATTATATATTTTATATTTTAATTAATTATGTGTTAATTAATTATATATTTAATTATATATTTTATATTTAATTAATTAATTAATTATATATTTTATATTTTTATATTTTTGACTGTTCGCTTCAGTTGATATTGCAAAATACTTTATTTATTTATTTTCACTTTAATGAAAATATGAAAATGAGATTTTAAATTTCAGTTTTTTCAGCTCGTTTTTTTTTTAGTTTTTTTCTATTATTAGAAAAATTTAAATTCCAAATTTCTATTTTTCAATTTCTTAGATTGGAATGAAGTGGCATTTATTTTCGAGATGTTCATTATGTCAATCGTGGCAACGATTTGTGTGAATCCAGAACGAAGTGCGCTATTTGATACAAACATCGCTCCGAAACAAACTGATAGTTTGCATATTTCGCCAATAAAAGATCAACGACTTTAACCTCATTTTTATTTTACCTAAATTTTTATAAAATTGAAATGTGTTGAAATTATTTTATTCAGCGATTTGCCAATTGTATAGATTATCGATGATTCTACTTTAAAACCTCAGCGCTGATAAAAGATTTTTTCTCAAAAACCAAGTCTGATTCCTTCCTATTCGACGTTAAAAGAAAGAGAAAAATTTTCCAAAGATTCATTTAGGAATAGGAGCGTAGATAGTTTTTCAGCGCCATCCGGATTTTCTTTTTGGGAGAGACGAAGCTCAACCATATTCTTGAAATAACATGGAATACTTCGTCGTTTTTGGTATAGTCTAATTTTCTAGATTTTCGCATATTTGCAGATTTTCTTTGCCATATCAGTTATATCGCCATACTGTTTCTCCACTAATTATTTGCCCTTATTGAGCTTATAACTTTTATTTCTTTTTACTTCCATTAGTCAATAGTAATTAAATACCAATGCTGATTAAGAGATATGATAATTGATAGGTTTATATATGATAAACAATAACAGTATTGATCATGTTTTCGACTTGGATCTATTTACTGGTTTAGAATAAAAAAGATTTCATCTTATAACGACATTCAACATTCCTGGTATGGCTATCTGTTACAGCTATCTACTATTATGCATGGGATCGTTTTTTCAAAAGCCCTCGTCACTGATGGTTAGATTCGCTGGCTTGTAAATTAGCATGCTAGGGAGTCCCTTGGGATAAAAGTGCAAGTAAGTCAACAGCATCATCCGCATTTTTGGGCACGTTTACTCCAGCATGGAATAGAATCGGATCCTAGAAACAACAACCCACTGAGCCATTCTATTCCTATGCATTAGATATATGCTAAGAAAATTACTTTGGAAAAGAAGTGCAAAAATAGGATCAGCTGTCAAAGCTTCAAAGCTTTATTTTTGTTTGCACTGACTGTTATGCATGACATACGTAATTAGTATAGCTATTACGTATAGTGCGTATAAAATGTAAATATCACGTTCACCGGAATTGAGATGTGTTGCTATACTTTGGAGTGATACGATACCTCCTAGCAAGCGATAACCTCGATTATCGCAAGATTTTGTTCGTTGATATTTGGAAGAAAATGCAGATTTTCCGGTATTTTGAACAGTTGATTATTATTGTCTGATTATTATTTGGTTGGGGATAGAATGGCTCAGTGGGTTCGATCCCCCAGATTTCCCACAGGAGTAAACAGTACAAAAATACGGACGATGCTGGCGACTCGCCTGTATTTAACGCCAAGGGATCCCTGGCATATTGCGACAAGCCAGTGGAGAGAGTTTAACCAGTAATGGTGATTATCATTTGGATTATCTTCTCTAAAAACATCGTCATTAGTTGATAATGAAATTCATGGGCGTCAAGTGAGTCAAGAAAAATGAGTAGAGAAGTTTGAATAGAGAAGAGAAATTCTTTACGATAGGAGATGTTTACTTTTCTTTTGCTCGCCATCTTCTATATTGCGGATGTTCTCAGTCTGATAACAATCTACAGTTTATTTTTTCATTCATTTACCAAGCAGGGCGGATTGATGGGGAAATTGTAAGACACAATAGAAGCTATAAATAATTTCATTCTTAAAACAATCGATACGAAAATTGATAACGCTTATCAGAACAAAAACATTTTCCATGCAAGGAAAGAATAAAATAAACCTTAGATGAACAAAAGAAAATTTCTTTTCTCCACTCGTAGCAAACAAAATCAGCGCGATCACGGTGAGTGCTTCCAACTTTTAATGGAGAACAGGAATATTTCGGACCAGCGGTTCCGAAACAATCGCCTAAACAAGTGTAGAATGAGTGAGATAATATTAGTAATATAAGGTGGGGACGTTAGAGAAAGAAAACAAATCGTTTGATCTTTGAAAAGTAAAGCACCATAAAATTCTCCGCGTTATTCGTGGTGTCTTATTTTCGCACCGCATATTTTCGCTCGAAAAAAAGTAATTGATTTGGAAATTAAAATAAATCAATGAATTAAATAATTTAAATTCGTATGAA